TTATTATTATTATTATTATTATTATTATTATTATTATTATTATTATTGCTGTTGTTGTTGTTGTTATTAATTGATTAGCCTATAGGTCATATCAATATACAAGGTTCAAACACGTTATTACCAATAAAACCCTATACAAACAATTCAAATAAAGAGTAGGGTAAAATACAATAGTTACAGGATAAAAAACAATAATTTAATGCATAAATAGGTAAAATAGAATAAAATGACATAAAATTATATCTCTGTATTTGTCAAATAAATGACTGTAAACCATCAACCAGTCCTGGGCTAGTTTGGTAGCAAGTGCTCAGCTAATACACGCCCCCCCCGCCCCCCCACACACCTCCTTTATCCAGATTTAATAATATCTAAAAGTTGAGCTAGATTTCGATCAGTGTTTCTCCAACTCGATTACTGTAAAATATGTGGACTTCAACTCCCAGAGTACCCCAGCCAGTGTGGGGTGGACTTCTATAAAGGAGGGGGGAAATGAGCAGAATGAGGAATTCTGGGAGTTGAAGTCCACATGTCTTAAAGAGGCAAAGTTTGAGAAACACTGAATCTAAACGTTAACACTTTTAATTAATACAGTTTCTGCAAACGGCACTTATTAATCTATTTTTCTTTCTGACTGATTTTATTATCACTGGGATATTTGAAGTTGTACTTTATCCTACCTTCTAATCATTGGACCCCTCCAATTTCTATTACTGTTGCTTAAAGCCCTTTAAACAAAACCCAGTGCCCATGTTTGAACCATTTTCTCTGTTCAATCCAATACTATTAAGCTCAGCTAACCTATCATTCTCGGCTTGGTTTTAGTTGGCTGCATAGGGCAAACCCACCTCCCCAAAACACCCACCCGGATCCAGATGTTGCACCCAAACACAGGTGCGGTTTTGCTGGTTTGCCCAATTCATTTGCAACAACTTTTATTTTCATCAATATTTGCCTGACTCCCTTGCAACAATTTTTGTTCGATAAACACCCGACCAATTCACCTGTACCATTTTTTTAAACATCATTCTCTTATGAAAAAAGTTCCACTTTTTTTTAAAACACACACACAAACACACACACAAAACCTTTTTTTTTTAATTTGCCAGGCCTAGGTTAGCTCAACGAAGAACCACCTCAAAAGGCGCTCTCACCATCCTGATTCTCACCATCCTGATAACAGGGTGGGAAGGGCCCTTGGAGGTCAGCTAGCCCAACCCCCTGCTCAATCCAGAGACCTATACCCATCCCGATTTGCTTAGAAGTTCCCCTCCTCCGGCTTGCGCTAAACCCGGCTTCCCGATGCCCATACCAGGGCTGACCTTCTTGGCATCCCGCGCTTGGAAGAAGGCAACCCCAGCCTTCCTCCCTTTGCCCAGCCGAGCGCGCTCCGGGCACCCAGGCCAAGGATGCGCTTCCCGGAGCGCCTCGGCGCGCTCGGCGCTGCCCGGACCCCGGTGGCGCAGTCCTTTGTGATGCCAGGGCTGTTGCGCACGGCCAGCCCGCGAGATCCTTGCGCTCGGTGGCTCCCTTCTTCCTCCTCCTCCTCCTCCTCCCGGGCAGCGAAGGAAATTGCGTGCCGCGGAGGAGGAGACTTGGCCGGTCCAATGCGCAGCGCCGGGTCCCCGCAGGCGGAGCGTCGGGCCGGAGGAGGCGCCGTGTGCCAAGCGGCCAGGGCAGCACGGAGGGGCGGACCTGCTTCCCGCAGCTGCCCCGGCCGCTCTCCGGGCGGTGAGTTCCCACGGGAAAGGGGCGGTTAGGAAGCGGAGCGACTCCGGAGCAGGAGAAGAGGAACCGGGAGCTCCGAGGCGGCTTTGCTTGCCTTTCCACGTGGCTGGCTCTGGCGCTGGGAGGGAGGGGCGCGCGGGTGGGGTGTCTCCTCCGTTGTCCTGCAGGGGGAGGAAAGAAACCCCCCCCCCCGTTCTCCGCAGCTTGGCATCCCCACTTCTCTTCTCCCCCTCCCCCCTTTGCGCTTCTAAATTGGGGTCCGACTGAATCCATGCGCCCCAGTTTGGCAAAGCCACGCTGCCGGTAGTTGTCTGGTTTTTGCTATGCCTGCGTTTAAAAGGCCGGCCTGGGGAAGGGGTTTGGTCGCTTACCCGCTTTGCCTTGCCAGGCACCCCCGCCCTTCCTTCCCCCCCCCCCCCCCGTCGCGTCGACCCGCCCCCCAACACGACGACAGAGCAGCCCCCGGACCGAGTTCACACGTTATGTCTTCACGCGGGAGCCTGGCACAGCCTCAGTTACCGCGTTGCGCTCCACCTTTGGGTTGGTACGGTATGGTAGGCGGTGCTTATGCAGCCCCTTCTCCGTCTTGGGGCTGACCCACCGGCTACCCCAGCCCCATTTCCCCCTGGTTAAGTCGGTTATTTTTGTTAATACAATCCTAGGCCAGGATCTTTAACCAGGGTTTGTTTGAATAAAGGATACGCCTAGTACTAAGAAACAGTTACATCTCAAACATGGCAATGGGTTACAGGAGACCATTTGAATTTGGTCTGAGATAGTATAGGATCTATTGCTTGAACGGGGTGGTGGGATAGACAACCTCCCAAGATCCCTCCTGGCTCTATTCTGATTCGCCTTCATTTGTTCTGTTGCAGAGAAAAAGAGTACAGGGTAGGTTAGGATTGGAACTAAAACCAGCGTTATGTTAAACCGCGTTCAGGCCTAGTGCGAATTCCTTGGCCAGCAACAAACGACGGTTTTATACATGGCGTTAAAAGCATTACATCTCTTTAACTTGAATTTACCGATGGTGCGAACACGTCGGTTGTGCTGGCTCAACCCTACTTTAGAGTTTTGTGTTGAACGTGGCTTTTAAATAATCACACCGTGGGAGAAGCTGCCAAGCCTTGAGCATCTCCGGGCTCATTCGCACAACCGTGCCTTGCTCAAGAAGCAGACTTACGGAAGAAAGGAACCCCTTTGACTAGCATTAAACCCGGCTCCATTCGCACCCTCGGGGTAATTGTGGCTCAGAACCCAGACAGGTAAAAAACTTAGTTAACAAATCTGGCACTGTGGGAGACACGCACCCAACCATTGTGGCTTAGCTTGGGGTACACACTGGGTTGCTGGGCAAACCCTGGTTGAACCCCCCCCCCCTGGTTTAGTGTTTGGCGTGAATGCTGCTAACCTGGCTTGTTAATGCTTGCTTTGCAGGGCTGTTAATTCAGTATGGGCTTGCAGCGGGAGGACGTTGGCCATCAGCCTGTTTTCATAATTGGGCATGGAATGACATCTCTCCCAAGGAATGTATATATTTAGTCCCCAAGGCCCGTCCGTCTTGGTCGCACGTATTTTGGCAGTTACAAACACAGCCTGCATTCTACACCTGTCGGTTTTGTACACAGTGCACAGCCCATAAGCCCCAGCCTTCACACACCCCTTCTCTCCAAAACTCCCCTAATAATGCTTACGCGGAGATCTAGATCAGAAGAAACGAAGTGTGATTTCATTCGAGAGCTTCGGTTCCGTTGCATTCGGCCCTAATGGTTTTAAAAAGCAGATTAAATTCCTTGGGGAACAGATCAACCCGCGGTTATGAAGAAGGGCACGGTTTCTTTCAGCTATTCCTACCTAACGGGCTTGCTAATCAATTAAAAACTTTTTTAAAAAACCAAAAACAGTTTGGAAAGTTACCGCACTCAAAGAAAGTCAGAAGGGGAAGATAGAGGGAAAAACCACAGACCATTGTCATTTTGTTTTAATATTTAGAATTTAGAATAGCAGAGTTGGAAGGGACCAGTGGTGGGATTCAATTTTTTTTTACTACCGGTTCTGTGGGCGTGGTGTGACTTGGTAGGCGTGGCAGGGGAAAGAAACTAACATCTCCATTCCCTCCCCATCCCACTAACCTGCTTTCCAGCTCCTTTCTCCTGGGCAGGGCAACCAAAGGAGACCCAGCCAATCAGCTGGGACTCAATGGGAGGCAGAGAATAGAGCGGGGTTGGCAGGGCCAGTCAGAGGTGGGATTGGCTGGTTCTTCAAAAATTTCCGCTACCGGTTCTCTAGAACAGGTCAGAACCTGCTGAATAGCACCTCTGAAAGGGACCTTTGAGGTCTTCTAGTCCAACCCCGCGGCAGGAAACCCTACACCACTTCAGACAAATGATATCACTGAATATCAGCTGTTGGGGAGGTAGAAGGGAGAAGGGGAAGGAAGAAGCATTGGATTTGGACCAAGGTTGGATAAAATTAGGGGAACCCCTGCTTTTCAGGGGCCAAAAAACCGCAGCTAAATTGCTTTGCAAGACAAGAGATATATATGTGGGAACTGCTGGCAAGAATGAGAGGGTTCGGCCCATAACCCTAAACCAAATGGGGACTGGGCACCCCAACTCAGCTCTGCTGATTGATGACCCGTCACAAAGATTTGATTGACGGAGCGACTTCCCCCAAACTCGACACCTTGGGACATGGGTGCGAATCCTGTGGCTGGGTTTTTTGTTTAGGTGGGGGGGAATGTTTCGCACCTAAAACAGGAGGAAGTTGCATTTTACCCGACTTTAGAATTAATTGGGCTGTTTTTGTTGTTGTTGTTTTTTAACCTCTTCTCCTGCTTCTCTTCCTTAAAAAAAAGGGGAAAACTCAGACCAGCAGCAGAAAGCTTTTTTTGGAGGAAAACCACAACCATGGCCAGCGACGTGGTGGAAGATGAGCTAGAATTCTACTCCAAGGCCGAAAAATATTGGAGGGACGTCCCCCCCACTGTGGATGGGATGCTGGGAGGCTACGGGCATATTTCAAGTATCGACATTAGCAGCTCCAGAAAATTTTTACACCGTTTTTTGAGGGTGAGAAGATTTTGCCTAAGGTGGGGGACCCCCTGTGCCCCCCATTTCTATTTCTCTTTTTCCATCATTCTCTCATTTCTATTTCCTCTGTCTTCTTCTCTCATTTCTATTTCTCTTTCTCTGTCTCTTCCTCTTCCTCTTATTTCTATTTCTTCTCGCTTTCCCTTTCTCTCACACAAACACACAGTATTTTGCAAGGAAGATTGTCGCTGTTGTGCAGTGCTCCAGAGAAGTGTCTCTCTCCCCCCCCCCCCCCCCCCCCCTACCAACAGGGCGTTTATTCCAGTTATTTCTCAGCCTTGGCAACTTTTTAGATGGACGGACCACTGGAAGGGTAAAAAAAACGTAGCTTGCTTTTGAGGGTCATGTTTCTAGCCCTCATGGACTTTCTTTGTGTGTATGTGTCTAGGACGGGCCAAACAGGACCGGCACAGCCTTGGCCTTAGACTGTGGCGCTGGCATCGGACGGATCACGAAGCGTCTGTTACTGCCTCTTTTCAAATCTGTGGACATGGTGGACGTGACAGAAGATTTCTTGAACAAAGCCAAGACGTACCTCGGGACTGAAGGCCAACGGGTCCGAAATTACTTCTGTTGTGGGTTGCAAGACTTCAGCCCCGAGCCTAACACTTACGACGTTATTTGGATTCAGTGGGTAATTGGTACGTGTCGCTCACAGGAGCAATCACAGTTTCCAATTTCATAAGGGCAAAATTCTGTTGATGCAGCTTTAGAGAACAGTCCGATAAGAGACAGCGTAGCCCTGAGCTGCATAAGGAGCAGGGAAAGGAACTCGGAAAGGAATCCTCCCTAGTTTCTCGGGCTGTAAAAGAGATGGTGGGTGATTTGTACCTTTGGATTTGCAAGATTGTGTTAATGTAGCTTTAAAGAAGAGCCCGATAAGAGACGGCGTAGCCCTGAGCTGCGTAAGGGATAGAGAAGGAGAAGAGACCCACCCTAGTTTCTCAGTCTGTAAAGGAGACGGTGGGCGATTTGTACCTTCAGACTTCCAAGATTCTGTCAATGTAGCCTTGCCAATAAAATAGAATTATGTTTGCCAGGGACTCTACCTGGCAAGACTTGGATCCCACAAGGCTCTCACGCGGCCCTGTTTCTCCTTCCCCAACAGGACACCTGACGGACGAGCACCTCTTACACTTCCTGCAACGGTGTCGCCTGGGGCTCCGCCCCAACGGCATCATCGTCATTAAGGACAACATGGCCCAAGAAGGGGTCATCATGGACGAAGTGGACAGTAGCGTCTGCCGGGACCTGGAGGTGGTTTGTAAGATCATCTGCCGTGCCGGGCTGAGCCTTCTAGCCCAGGAAAAACAGGAGAATTTTCCAGACGAGATCTATCACGTCTATACCTTAGCCATGAGGTGAAGGAGATCCAGGAAGCCGTCCCATGGTGCTCCGGGACAAACCATGGTTTCCAGCGGTCCAGGAGGAAAGGGCAAAGAGGCGCGATCAGCTGGGGGAGGGGTCTCAAGAGGTGGGGAGCAGGGAGGGAATTAAGATGGTTGTGTCCCTGGGCAGTAAAACGGACTGGGACAGGGGAAGTAAAGGTAAGCCCAATTGTAGTGTCCTATGTTGGTTTGTTATGATGGTTGGAAAAAAAGATCAGAAGAATACACCTTGTACAGTGCAGGCAAGTTGCCGAATTGAATCTCTACAATCTGCCGTCATGGCTTGTTTGAGTTTCTTTTGCTCCCATCTTTCGGCAAAAAATGACCCCCACACCCCCCAAAAAAATTTCCCCAGATGGGTTTAAGAACAATCCCGCGTTTCCAAGCAATCCAAAACGACCCAAGAGGAAAGCAGGATGGGGGGAGGGGAAGAGGAAAAAACAAGCAGGCTGCATTTTTTTTGCTTTACAATTTTTTTTTTTTAAAAAAAATGGTTTTTCTTAAAATTCACGGTCAATTAAAATGATAGAACAGCTGCCTTGGATGTAAAGAACTGCGGTTTGAAGATCCTGAATTGAGCATCTTAAATCGGGTATGTTTGTCTCGGTTAGCAACATAAATTTTGGGGCCAATTGTTGTAAGTTAAGGACTACCCGTTTGTAAAGTCAATGGGGAAAGACAGCGGGACGTCGAAAATGTACGATCGCATAACGGTGGGATGCTATGATTTGGCTAACAATGGCAACTCGGGTTTCTGGAACTACAAGTGTAAGTTACTCAACTCACATGATGTCACGTGGTGTGACTCGCTTAGCAGCGAAGACTTCCCAGTCCCAATTACCATCAGTAAGCAAGGACTACCTGTAGTAAGATTTATCACAAAGTGGAACAATGTTTTTATCCGTAGCACGACAATATGTGAAGAGCGTAGGCACGTTCTTTTAATCGGCATTCCTGTCTTGACCATGGATGGTTCAGTAGGGCTCCTACATATAAGCCTATACAACCTCACAATCCTTTGGCACAAGAGGGACAAATTCTTCCTTCTGCTGGTTACACAAGTCCAGAAAGGATTTTCCCCGCCGGTTCAGCTGCTGTGGGGATGTGATTCTGTTGCAACATCTAACTGCCACCCACCCACCTGCTCCCACATACCCACCAGTGGAAAGTGCTGCCGCAGACACGGTATATATACACCACGTCGTTGGCTGTCGAACGTTGATCGGAGACCTTGCCGTTTGTGTGCTGGTCCGCTAGCAACGAGGAGACCCAAGATGCCAAATATCTGAGGTCCACTTCTCCTTCCAGGAGGTCACACCTGCTCCAGAGATGCGCTCGGATCTATGAGGAGGTATCTCTTCAAGCGGTTGGGCAGAGGGAGGGCCTTCACCTTGACGTCTACGGGCCAAGGTTGGAGAAACTGCCGCAGGTAGACTCGGCACAGGTGCTTCAAGGTAGGCGGGCTGTTCTCCAGCTGTTTGAGCTTCCCGAAAAGCGCCTGGATCTTGTCTTGGTGGTAGCGGCAGTGGCTCAGGTCGATCTGGAAGTTGCTGGGCAGCTTGACCACGGGGCCGCTGGCCATCATCAGCTCCAGGGCAGTCTCGGCTTTCTGCAGCAAGTCGATGGAGAAGCTGTCGTCCTCAGACTCGCTGAGATGGGAACAGAGGCGCTCAAAGATGATGTCGAAGCCAGACCAGCATGTCGGTCCGTGGAGGGAGCAGCTGTGCGAAGCCCCGGACTCCAGCAGGAAACGCAGCAGCGGGAAATGCAGCCGGAAGCTCTTCAGGCAGAGGTGGGTGAGGGACTCATAAGGCGGGCACTCGCTGGGGTTGGCGCCGTGGGCCATGAGCAGCCGCGTGGCCTGGAAGCAGAAGCGGTGGATCATCTTGGCCTCTTCGGCGTCGCTGCCCACTGTCTCGCCCAGCAGGAAGATGATGAAGGTGAAAACGGTGTCCCCATCTTTGGTTGTCGCTTTGACGTCTGCGCCTGGAGAGGCAGAGGGGAGATTGAGAAGAAGACTGGCAAGAGTTTGCAAATTAAACATTTCTCAATCTCTCTTAAGTTTTGGGACAGTTTACTAGTATATTTGAGGGGCTCTTAAGTTTTAGGACAGT